TTCTTGTACTTTCCAAACTTGCCAACAATTAGTGTTCACTTTTATTTTGCAAAAATAATGACTTATACTTTTTAAAAAGAGAAAAGGATTTTTAATGGAGTTTCCTTTTTAAAATATTTTTTAGTTGTAGATGGACACAATACATTTATTTATTAACCTTTATGTGGTCCTGAGGATCAAACCCAGGGCCTCACACATGCTAGGTGAGCCACAACTCCAGCCCCTTTAATGGAGCTTTTTAATTGAAGAAGAGAAGAGGAAACGGGTTGACTTTGGAGATGTGAGAGCCGTCTTCAGACAGTGGAAGGGTGACATGTGGAAAAGGAGGTGGGCACATGAGCCCATCCACTGAGGGCACTTAGTGAGAAGGAGCTAAGGATTTCGATTCCCTGTGGAATCCACATGGCAGGCTTACATTTTAAGCAAATGTATGACCAAATAACTAAAGGCTCAGGATTTCCCTGCTACAAACCAGGACTAAATGTGACAGCCTCTCAGACTCACTTGACCACACAGGAAAGCCAGGGACATCCCCAGGAGGCAACAATCAAACCAAAAGCCCCCGCAGGTGTGTTGAGACTCAGCTGCTGGGCCAGGAGATCTTCTCTCACTAAGCAGGGACTTGATTTTAAGGGCCAAGCTAGAGTGGAGGGGGGGGGGTGAGTCATAGTGGTCCTTGCTATCCCCCTTGGCAGATCTGGGGCTGTCCCTGCTGCCTTCACTGCTGCTTGGTGCCCAGAGATTCCCCAAGGCTAATGCCACTCAGTCTATGAAATCTAAATGCAGACCAGTGAATGATAATCTGTTATTGCATCAAATGTCAGCAATATCAGCTGATAACTGAGTGTTCCCGCTCAGGACGTCTTAACCTCCTGGAGTCTTTACTAGAACAGTAAGCTCTCAGCTCTGTGGTCTCCACTCACTTTACAATTTGACTGACCCAAAGTAACCCTGAGGAGTAGAGAAGTGACTTGGTCAAGGCCCCAGAGCTGGTGAATGTGGAGAAGTTGGTTCCAGGTCAGTCTTACTTCTGACCACCCGCCCCACCCCACCCCCACACACAGGCACACTGACACCTGGGAATGGGTGGTGACTCCACCATCAAATCACATGCAAACACCCAAAGGGGCCGAGGGAGGCAGTTGGTCACCAGCAGACCCTTGGTGTCCACGGCCACAGGAAGGGTTTCCTGGGGTACCTCCGCAACATGCGCTGTCCACAGAGGACCCTAGAGGGAAGCCAGGTTTGGAGGCATGACCCTGAGGATGAAGCCAGTTAGGCAAGCTGCCTGTCTGTGTGACACTTACTGTCACCCACTGCCTCTGGGTTGCTGTTAAATTCCAGATGCCTTCAACAGAAGACCATTTTATTTATTTTTTATGTGGTGCTGAGAATTGAACCCAGTGCCTCACCCATGCTAGGCAAGCACTCTGCCACGGAGCCACAACCCCAGCCCCCAGAAGACTATGTAATCATATGCTTCCCTGTTTTGTGTGCAAATGGCCCCAACGAGGCCTTCCTGGACCTCCCTGGACCTCCCTGCCTCACATTGCATGTCCCAGCACCCCTGAGAGCGCCCTGCTTTGCATTTCTCCATGGCATGTAGCACCTGACGTGCTGTGTATTTCAGTTAGTTATGGCCTGCCCCAGTCCCAACTAGAATGTCACCTCCGTGAAGGCAGGCTTGTGTCCCTTTAGATCACTATTGTTTCTAGTACCTAGAACACTGCATGGTGCCCAAGAGGCATTTCATGAAACTAAACTGAATAAATGAATGACCAGTAGCGAGATCGCAGCAGTGCCGATGCCAACCCTGACCCTCACAGCAGCCCTGGGAGAGAGACAGGCCCTGGCCCCGTCCTCCAGGTGAAGGCACTAAGGGAAGGTGACACTCGGCAGCCCCTGCTCCTGAGCAAACACTTTCTAGTCTAGTGACTGTCTTCTTAGGTGACACATGTTACACCTGACTGGCCACACACCCAAAATGATCCCTGCAGGTGGGTGCTGATGCCCTTTGTTCTGTTACCTTCCCACGAGCACGATGCCTCCTATGGTCCCGAGACAACAGAAGCCGAAACAGACACATGGAGATGTCAAGCTCCCGAGCAGCACAGGGAACAACAGAGTGACGCGGCAGCCTGGGGAAAACCTATGCCTGGGAGGGACTTCAGATCCTCGGGAGCCCAGGCTGCCCCTGCTGGGACTTGGCCAGAGAGCAAAGCTGATGCTGGTGGCAGGGCAGCGCAGAGAGCGAGCCACCCGTTTCCAGAAACAGAAAGGGGCAGGCGGAGCCAGCAYGTGCCCGCCAGGAGGGTTTTGAGGCCCCTGTGAGGTAGCCTGCCAGGAGGGCCAGCCCCACTCTGGGTGCCTCCCGCATGGGGGCCACCTGTTCAGGAAGTCCAGAGGTCACGTCAGCACAACACGCCAGCCTGGTTGCAGCACCAGAGGTCCAGTACCTTTGGAAACCCCTCAGTCCCAGTTAGGGACAGTGGGCCACCTAGGTCATGACCACTTGAGGGGAGAGTTTGGTGCACTGGGCCCAAGTCCAGATCTGTTCAACTAGAGTAGCTGGTGCTTATTGTCATTTAGCGGTGGCCACATCCTGATATCAAATTCTCTCATTAAGCTTTACCTCCACCTCCTCAGGGGGACCTGGGGATTATCCCTAYTTATGGGTGAGGAAACTGAGGCTCAAAGGGAATTCATAACTGGCCTGAGGTCACACAGCAGCAGGTTGCTGTGCAGGACCTGAATCAATTCAGAGGCACCTTGGCACCCACCTGAGGCAGTGGCGGGCTAGGAGGCCTTGGCCAGAAAGTATCCTCGGCCAGAAAGTATCCTCCTGTGCATGGGAACAAACGTGATCCCATTCTTGTCACCTCAGGCTTTTGCAACTGCTTGTCTTCAGTTGACCCACTGCATAAAGTCTCTCCATGATGGTTCAGTTGTGGTGAGAAGCGCTGTACCCAGCTGTGTACCCAGAAATGCCTGGAGACAGTAACAGGGTTGATTTGATATTAATGAAGCCAACGCTCCTGGGAAGAATGACTGAAGTTCCAGTTCTCCCAAAGCAGCAACCAGGGGAGCAGATTCCCTTTGTGTGTGTGTGTGTGTGAGAGAGAGAGAGAGAGAGAGAGGGATGCTGGGGGTTGAACCCCAGGGCGCTTAGCCACTGAGCCATGCCCACATCCCTTTTTTTTTTTTTTTTATTCTGAGACAGGGTCTCACTAAGTTGCTGAGACTGGCTTTGAATCTTTGAGTCCTCCTGCCTCAGCCTTCCGAGCTGCTGGGATTACAGGTGTGCACCACTGTACCCAGCAAGATTCCCTCTAGACCAGGCCAGGTTAGAGTTTACTCTGAGATACTGGAATAGGATGGTCTGTGCGGTGGCTTTCAAACTCAGGCATGTGACCAGAATCAGCCAGACAGCTGGTTAGAACACTAAGTTACCGTCTCCAGGCACCTGTCACCCCCAGTGGGTCTGATTCAATGCCTCCGAGGTGCAAGCTGAGAATTTACCTTTGAAGCAAGTTCCCAGGTAGCTCCAGTGCTGCTGGCTTGGGACCACACTTTGAGAACCAAGCAGGGCACTTGAAAGCAGGCATGACCGGCGATAAATCCCAGGCTRTAAGTGAAAACCTCTCAGCCAGAGGCGGGTGCTGGCGCGTGCCTCAGAGAGACTCGGCGTGGACACGGGGATGGCAGCTTGTCAGGCTCCGTGGGCTGACTTTAACCCCCACGACGTATTCCCTGAGAAGAATGGGAACCCTGGATTTGCTCGGAGAGCAGATGCTGTCAGAACCCAGGTGTTATTTGACAGGAACCAGCCTGTCACATGGAGGAGTCAGGAACYGGGGTTTCCTGTCAGATGTCAGAAGACTAAAGAATGCATTTAATATGAAATAAAATTCCTAAGGAATGAGAAAGCATCGGGTCATAATGCATTTTATTGGCMACATTTTCATTGCTTATAAAATAAGAACATCAGGGCCAGGGCTGGGGCTCAGTGGTAGAGCACTTGCCTAGCATGAATGAGGCACTGAGTTCCATCCCCAGCACCACATTGAAAAAGAAAAAAAAATTAAATAAAATAAGAACATCATCTAATCGAACATCTTAGATTCAAAGAAATACCGTGTTTGTGTAAAGAGAAAATGCAATTAGCAGCTTCAGCCTGTTATCAGGGAAGTTACTGCTTTGGGCAAGGCTAAAATCAATAGTGACGTTGGATCTACATGGAATTAAATAAGTATATTCTGTACATAAAACTGCAAAATTTTGAAGATGGTTCCTGGGTGCCTGAGGTTTGGAAAACTGTAGGATAGCAGCTCTTAGAATCACCATTAGGGCTTCTCAGCTTGATAATGTCCACCCACTGAGAAAACCACTATTTACTTATTCCTCTTCGAGGCCAAATCTTCATGTGACAGATTATAGTCTAATAAAGGAAAAAAAATATTATGACATTGCCTATTTGTGCTCGCTCTCTTGCTCTCTCTCCTTTTGCCTAAAAACTTCAGCAAAAGTACAGGAATACTATATGTGGAAAACGTATGCTAAGAAGAACGTTATCAGAATAGTCTTACCCAGAGTCTTTCTATCAGTACTTTTCTGGTAGTTTGTTAGGATTTTTTTGTGATAAAGCTTACCAGCGCGCCTAGGGCATCTGCTGCATTTAGCATAAAACTTACCTGRTGTAAATTGTAGGAACACCTCTTCATTCGAGGGGTCTGGATCTGTTGTTTCAGAGCTGTCTCCCAGCATCTGACTCACTCACTTTCTCCTCCTGGTGACTGAATGGCTGCCACAGCTCCAGGCATCCATCAGAAGCCCTGCAACAAATGTCCTCTAGTGTCTCATTGGCTTGAACTGGGTCATGGAATCACTCTTAAACATCAAGGGAGACTGGGATGTTCGTTCTCTACCAAGGAAAAGGTCAGCAAAGGGAATGGCTGGTGGATATTTATATTATGAGAATTAATAACGACCATGTCTTTTAGTTTCAGCTCCAGAATTTGTTTTTGAACATGGCTATCAAACTTATCTGCCCACGGAAAGCAACGAAAACCAAACGGCCACTGTCATCTCTCTCCCGACCAAGTCATCACGCACCAAAAAGCCTTCAACCCCACCTGCTCAGAAAAGGCTTAACTGTTGCTATCCAGGTATGGCCCCCATATGTCCTGCCTGTGTAGAGGATGTGACACTCAGTCGGGGTCCAGGGCTCTTGACAGCTGGGTATCAACATGACACATACTGTCTGGCCTGAAAATCAGAGCCTCCCAGCATGGATGTCACCACAGGCCCCTTCTCTCTCTGTCACTGGTATTGTGCCCAGGGGCACTAAGGCTTATAGCCACGGGCCTTTCGAAGGGAACTTGTGAGACTAGACGATACTATGAATATTGTTCCTGCACTAAAGCTTAACAAAACATCCGGGGGGGAAAAATGCTCTTTCTTTACTTTTGCTTAACTTTTTATTTGGGAATAATTTCAGACTTACAGAAAAGTTACAAAAATAGTGCAAAAATGTCCCTGTGTATACCTTTCATCTAGATTCCCCAGGATGCTAACATCTTCCACATTCATTTTTGCCATTCTTTCTAGATAGATCTCTATATATTTTTCCCCAAAGTCTCTTGAGAGTAAATTGTGACCTGAAGGTCTCTTACCCTGAATACCTCTGTGTTTTCTAGAAGTAGGGCCTCCTTCTATAGAACCACAGGACAATCATCAAAAGCAGGAAACTAGCGTGTGTGTGTGTGTGTGTGTGTGTGTGTGTGTGTGTGTGTATCACATTTACTGACCTTACTCAGATTTCACTGTCCCGCTCATGTCCTCCTTCAAAAGAAAAACACTTCCCTGCCTGGTCCGGGGTCTGACCCATGACCGCATGTTTCACTTGGTTCTTAGGTGTCTTTAATTTCCTCTAAGCAGGAACAGTCAAGCCGTTGTCTCCGAGGGGCTTGACGTGTTTTGAACAGTACAGGCCTGTCAGTTTGCAAAATGTGCCTGGACTTAGGTGTGTGTGGTGTCTCCTCAGGATTAAACTTGAGGCTCCACGGTTTGGGCAGGGGCCCCTGGTGTGTCACCTAAGGGGCGAATGACATCCCTTTGTGCCCTTACTGTGCTGCTAACCCACATGGCTTGGAGTAGGAAGTTTCTGCCAGTGTTCTCCACTCAAAAGTAACTGTGCTTTCCTTTGTAATTAATATTTCCTTTTTTGTTTGTTTGTTTGTTTTTAGGTTGCCAATTCAAGACTGCCTATGGTATGAAGGATATGGAGCGGCATTTAAAAATTCACACAGGTAAGTCACGCGTCTTTGGCCTCTGTGTCCCAAATCCCTTTTTCTAAAGAGGAGAAAARGGTGAACGTATAGAAAGAGAAAAATGAGCCGGATGAAGTGGTGCACACCTATAATCCYGGCTGCTTAGGAGGCYCAGGCRGGAGATCTCAAGTTCAAGGCCTTGGCRACTTRGCGAAATCCTGTTGCAAAATTTTAAAAAAGTTTTTTAAAGGGGCTGGTGGTGTAGCTYAGTGATAGAGTGACCCTGGRTTCAATACCTAGGACACRAAAAGAAAGAGAGAAAGCAGGCCAGCAAGCAGGGAAGAGGAAAGTGGCTATTTCTGATCATTTTAATGTTCTTTAATACAGTTTGTCCTTCAGGATCTTCAGGGGAGCTTACMAGAATTTGAGAAGGTTCAAGTCCTTTACAAAAATGAGACTTGTAAAAATAGTAGTTTTATAGATGCCACAGGTGTATCTTTTCTTTTTTTTCTTTTTGGTACTGGGAATTGAACTCAGRGGCACTCSACCACTGAGCCACATCCCCAGCCCTTTTTGGTATTTTATTTAGAGACAGGGTCTCACTGAATTGCTTAGCATTTCACTTTTGCTGAGGCTGGCTTTGAACTCGAGATCCTCCTGTTTTGGCCTCCCGAACCGCTGGAATTACAGGCATGTGCCACTGTGCCTGGCCACACAGGCACATCTTACATATACTTTGGATCACTATAGATGACTCTCAACACTCAGTGCAATGTAAGTCCTATATAAATAGTTGTTTGCTGTATTTTTATTTGTACTTGTTTGTTGTTATGGTTTATTTTTYGAATATTTTGGATTGGCAGTTGCTTGAATCCACAGATGCATCACCAGTAGAGACAGAAGCCGACTGTGGGTTATTTTTGTGTTTCCCAGATGTTTTGCATGGAGAAAGAATGGCTTCTAGGCGATTTTAAATGAAGTGTTAGATGTCCATGTTCAAAAGATTGTATTATACATGTTCAAAGAGTGTCAGTGTGTCTAGGTGAGGGACCCAGTGAATTTGACTTTATTTTCACTAGTTGTCCAGAGTCTGCAGTCGAGCCCAGCCTTGGAAGATGAAGCAGCCAACAGTTATTTTTTATATTCCTTGGCCGGGATGACTGAGGGCCTTATTGCACTGGGGTCACCATCCTATCTCATCTGCCTCACTGTGTCATGTCATTTAGATTCATTCTAATTATCCAGACCTTAATTTCATGTATGGCAAGCATTTTCATGTGAGAAGCAATAAATCTTTCCATGTGGCCTTCAGAGGTTGAAGCTTCAGCCATCAAGCACAGCATATTTATCCTTGAAAGAGTTAAGGACCGTGATTCCTGGTGGCRACTGGGAGACCATTGTAAAAACAAATGAGAATGACTTAATTTCTGCAGATCTGCAGAGAMCGCCCACATGCAGCCAGCCACATCTGTGTTTGTAGGGTGGTTCCTGATTAACTGAACTACCTCCATCATCRTCTTCAGCTCCAAGAATTGACTAGGCAGCGACCTTGCTAGTTTCCTCAGAGACAAGGGTGTGCTTAATAACCCCTGGGGACTGGTGGACAGCAACAGTCACAGGGCTCTTGCCYATAAAGCTGGCCAGAAGCCACCCAGATGCACCAATAAGCATCTGCCCCCTATTGCACACAAACAGAGTAGTGGCCACAGGGATTGCTGAGCAATTACTATTCCTGGATTTTTAAATTGACTGCTAAGGTTTTTAATAATAAAAATGATAATCTATAAGAAAGTTTTAGAAGTATTTTTAAATCCCAAATGTTTGTTCTAAGATGATAGTGATCACTTTTGGCTAACTAACAACATAGTTCAGCACCTGGCTGTGTGGGACTTGGCAAAGTACATATTTGATACATATAGTAAAAAAATGAAAAATCCCAACTCTCAGACTCTTCTAATCCTTTGACTCAACTGAACGAAATGGTTTACTATACCATTCTAAAGAATTGGCATGCCTAGCCGGGCGMRGTGACACATGCCTGTAATCTCAGCAGCTCAGGAGGCTGAGACAGGAAGATCACAAATTCAAAGCCAGCGTCAGCAAAAGCAAGGTGCTAAGCAACTCAGTGAGACCCTGTCTCTCAATAAAATGCGAAATAGGGCTGAGGATGTGGCTCAGTGGCCAAGTGCTCCTGGGTTCAGTCCCTGGTACCCACCCCCCCCGAAAAAAAAAGATTTGGCATGCTTATGTGAAACTAAAAACATTCAAATTTAAGTAGCACTCTATACAACTTGCTTCTTCGTTTGCTACTGGACCTCTTCCTACATCAGCGTGTGAACATCTACTTCCTTCTCTTCAGTGGCCACGTAGGGAGCTGATTTCAGTCACTGATGGCACATGTATAAAATACATATTTCTGGGCTGAGGTTGTGGCTCAGAGGTGGAGTGCTCGCCTAGATTGTGTAAGGCAGTGGGTTTCAATCCTCAGCACCACATATTGTGCCCGCCTACAACTAAAAAATAAATGTTAAAAAAATAAAATATTTCAGGTTCAAAATCATGTTGTGAATATTTAATGAGGTGAAAAAAAGATGACCAAAATTACTTTAGGTACAAGAAAGTAGGCAATTGGGCATCACTGTAGCATGAGGCTAAATAAACAAGATGGTCCTGGGTTCTAATTCCAATTGTTAAGAGGATTAAATAAAATAATTCAGAGCTAYAATGCTGTTCAAAAGTTTAAGCATTTAAATTAACGTCAGCCAAGAGAAATTTTTTGTGCCAAAAAAGTACACATGCACCAACAAACAATAATGATTCATCATCATCATCATCACCAAAAAATACACATCAAAAATGAGCAGTTGTTCACGACTGACATGTGTCAGGTTCAGATTAAGCTGCTGTAACAGAGAAACCCAAACACCAGCTCAAGCAGGACAGGGGTTTGTGCGTCTGTCACATAACCACCCACAGATAAGCGGGTAGGGTGGCCTCTCTGTCCCAGAAGGGCATGCAGGAACGGAAGTCCTTCTGTCCTTAGCTGCATTCTCCCACCATCTGTAGGGGCCCTGCCGGCATCTGCCTGCACCTGCTGACTCCGCAGGTGTCCCAGTTCCAGTCGGTGATAAGGAGAAAAGTGCTTCCTTTCACAAAAGGGACACACGGCTTTCCCGCCATTGCCTTCACAGAAACTGAGACACAGAGCTGAGAAATGTCCTCTCTGGCTCGCCAGCCATGACCTCTGCTAAACCTTAGGGGTTTCAAATTTTAGGGTTTGTCTACTGTGAAAAGAGAAAAGAGAATAAATACAGGGGACATTAGTTGTCCCCGGCTCCCACACAGCTGGAGCCTGAATTTTTATTTTGTTTGCCTCCTGTTATTAATTGGGAATTCTCATTCATCATAGAAAGAAGTTTCCAATAAGCAAATAGAAGAAGAAACTGCCCCTCCACCGCGGTGGCTCTTTGGGCACCCTCTAAGTGGCTTTGGGGTTTTYCAGATATCCTTAGGGAGTTGCGTAATTCCTCTTTTCCAAGGTGGCAGGAAATAAGCTGTTTCTTCTTTAATCTTCTTTCCTGCTGCCCTTGGCGTGTGTGTGAAGGAGACAAACCCCACAAGTGTGAAACGTGTGGCAAGTGCTTCAGCCGGAAGGACAAGCTGAAGACCCACACGCGGTGCCACACGGGCGTGAAGCCCTACAAGTGCAAGACGTGYGACTACGCGGCAGCCGACAGCAGCAGCCTCAACAAGCACCTGCGCATCCACTCGGACGAGCGGCCCTTCAAATGCCAGATCTGCCCCTACGCCAGCCGCAACTCGAGCCAGCTCACCGTCCACCTGCGCTCCCACACCGGTAAGTCCCGCCGCCACCGCGCTGCGCCTCGCCTCCCTGGCTGGCAGCGTTGGGCACCGCAGAGCCTTTGGCCACAGAGGAGAGGGGAGGTGTCCGATCACTTCCACTGTTGCAATTTTGCTTTTCTTCTGCCTAGAAGAGCCTTTCACAGTTAAATCAGGGATAGCGTCAAGTTTGCAACTTGACAGATATTTTTTTATAACTATAACATGACRTATTTGCAAGTAAAATATAATAATTGAGGAGGAATGCTAAATGAAATAGAGATATAAGCAATGGATACTTATAAACTTCTGGTTTATGGCCAGACATTTTGATAATGTTTAAATTTTCCTCTGAATAGTTCAGCACGAAGCAGCTGGATCAGCAAACACACAGGGGTGGGATGTAGCTCAGTGCAATGTGAGAGGCCCTGGGTTCCATCCCCAGCACTGCAAACACTCGTGAGTGCACACACACACACACACACACACACACACACACACAAAAGTCACAGCACAGAAAAGTCAACAGTAGATGACTCAACAAGTTATTTTTCTTTCAGGGTGTGTATAAGCTAGCTGTTGATATACGATGATGCTGCATAACACAACCCAATCTCAGTGGCTTCATATAGTAAATACGCATTACTCAGGTACTTCAGGTCAGCAGGGGGCTGCTGTGGATGTTGGCTCAGCTTAACCATGTGTATAGCGAAGGCTGTGTCCACAGACCTTGGCTGGGATCTGCTGGCTGCAGGCTCCTGGCTGTCCTCTGGCCTTGGCTAGAATGACCTGACTTTGCTCCATGCATCTCTGATCCTCCTCCTAGGACTGTGGCTGACCTAGACTTGTCCTCACAGTGATGGTAGAGGGACTAGCAAGCAATCCTTTCTGGGTGAGGCCCTTTCAGGCCTCTGATTACACAAGTCTACTTACGTCACATTGGCTACAGCAAGCAAGCTACACGGTTGGTCCTGGTGTCTGATGAGCTCACCCACAGTGGGAGGTCACCATAAGGTCACATGGCAAAGGTCAGGGATGTGAGGAGGGTGAGGACTTGGGGACCCTTGTGCAAATGCACTCCACCTTCATCCCCATCATCATTCACATCTCTCACAGGTAAAATGCATCCATACCCACCCCCCAAGACCCCACAAGTCTCATCCTGTCTTTGGGTCAGACTTGAAGGCCAGGGTTGTGTGGTCTCCAGCAGGTCAGGATGTGGCTCCAYCTCATCTGGAAAGAGCCAAAATAAAGAGACTCCAGGTCCACTGCCACACACCCAGCATGCAGGGGTCAGACAGCCAGGACAGCCACAGTTGTCCTGCTGTTTGGGAGAAGGTGAATGGAGACCCCACCCCCATTGGTCCAGAGCACTTCTGAAACCCTCTGGGCAGATGCTCCCAGGTTCCCCCATTCCGGAGACAGGACCAGTTTCAAGATTAGGCCTTGGGCTGGCTGCCTGGTTCTTCCCTCTGCCTCCTAAATCATCCTTCCCACTTGTGATAAGGGTTGGAAAACATCCTCCGAGGAGCTTCTCAGCCTGCTTCCTGCCCACCAGAATTGGGCGRTCTTTTTTGCATTTTATGCTGGCCTAGGCCGGTGACGGTTTGGCTGGTAGAGCCATCTTAAAAACATGGTGGATTTCCTGTGTGCCTGTATGCCAGAAGCCACACACCTCTTCTGGAGTCTTGCCTCTTCGMGTGCCTCAGAGACTTCCTTCTTTAATGTCCCCCAGGTGCCGGAAAGCCTTCCGTCCAGCTAAGGGAACCACTTCGGAGTTTAACAGAATCCTACATCCAGACCCTTCGTTTCTCATTTGTCTTTTCTCTAAGATCAGTTCCCTGAACAGAATCTTCATCTTACTTTGAAAATCTGGTTGGAGATGAAAAACTATATCCAGCAAATCTTTAACTTATTCTATATTCCCTCTAAATTCTGCTTTGGACGATGCTCAGGTCTTTTTCAAGCTTTTCCTCCTCACAGTACCTAATCATAGGCAGCTTCTGAAACACTCTCCCTATTCTGTCTAGAATTTCTCTCTCTCAGAAAGCTCAAACTCACGTGCCTTCTGCCTTCTAAGTTATCCCAGGTGGCAGTTTCACCAAATATTTGTCATGAAATGCTTGCCATTTCATGGGAATTGTCATCTTTCCAGCCTCCACCTGCAAATCAGTCCCCAAACCAGTGCTACATGTTTTGGTCCTCTGCTTTGGCAGTACCTCATTTCTAGATACTAAGATCCATATCTGTTTGTCACAATGACGCAACATATTAAAAAAAAAGAAAGAAAGAAAAAACCTTCACTAAACCTATGTAGATACAACAATATGCCTTTTCTGTTGACATCTTTGGGATCAGCTGGGGACCACCAGGTAACTACTGACCTTGACTGGGCTCACAAGTTTGAGAATCTGCTGGCCATCGGCTGGTTGGCCATGACCCTTGGCTGGGGTAATTCATCTTTGTACTACTTGTCTGTTGTCGTCTTGGGATGAGAGGGCTAGGCCAGGACTGATCACCTCATGGTAAAGACTGAGATACAAGCCAGCCCCATAAGGTCATGTCAAGCTACTCCTTCTATCAAGGATACCATTGGTCAAATCCAGTGACATGGTTGAGCCCGCTGCTGTGGGTGATGGCAAGCCACCCTGCCCGCAGTGGGAAAGTGAACAGAATCACATACACAGCAGAGGACATGGCCACAGGGGTGGGGGCTGGGGGGGGAGGGGACTTAGGGACATTTGTGTAAGCTATTAAGCAAGCTATGACATTAGCATAACTGATGCCCAACCGATTCTTCAGTATTCTCCCTCAGACTAAGCTAGAGAAACTCAAGGATTTGTTTATGAAAGTGATTCCCTGCAACCTATAAAGATGAATTTACCACTCAGAGCAGTATGTTTTCTAAAAATTTAGGTGTATGCCATTTCTGCATTGTCTCCATGGAATGTTAATTTTTCTATTGTATAAATTGGTGACACTCGTAAAATTGTAAATTAATAGGATTCTATTTTTACCTTTGAGTCGATTCAGGATACTAAATCATCAGTCATTTCAGTACCAACTTAAACTCAAGAAAGATTTTTCAGCTTGAACGTATCAGTGCCTTCTTCATTCAGCAACATCCCTTAAGCCCACGGTGTGCCAGAGCCCGAGGGGATTCYGGTAGTAGGTAGGAACAGTCAGTGGCTTTGAAGACCTTACAGTTCAGTGGGCCTGTCTGACCAGTACACTTCATTTAAGAAATAAGTTTGTTCTTCTAGAACAAAATACAATGACAGAAGAGTTTAGACCCTTTGCTTTTCAGGTCAGAAAGTGCTGTTACACTCTGCAACTTAGCTCTGAGATTTGCTCATCTGGTTTTTCTGGGTTTCGGTTCTTTTGATTGTTCAAGAAATGAAATGACTGTCACAGTAATATGAGCAGGAAGGTATCTAGAAAACTCTTGTAGAACATCCTGAGCAGGCGTTATTGCTCATGATTCTTTGTAGGAACCCATGAATAGAATTTAGGAGATAGGCCCTTGAACTTGAATGTGAAAAACTTATTACTTCATTTTCRGAACATTTACTGGAAATAACTGTGTCCTTCAGTTATGAAAACAGGCAACCAGTCTGGTAACACAGCACATGAACTTATTGCCAGCAAAAATCATAGATGTTTTCATCACACTCGTGCATCTAGATGGAAATATCTTTAGCACACTTTTCTATTTAGAACTGTTGTTACAAGACCCGCCGCTAGCTCTTGTTATTTAATACATTGATAAAGCGTACACATTGCCACATCACAGAATTTTTTCTTTTTTCTTTTAACATTTTCAGTAACTATTTCAATCTAGTTGGCCTCTTTTGTCTTCCTGTTGTTTTTTAGTCTATTTTGTGCATGTAAAACATATTGTTAGAGGGGTTGTAAAGGCTTCACTAACCTGCCAAAAGGGGTGATGACATAAAAAAAAGTTAAGAACAACACTCTAAGGCAGAAAAAAGGAAATTTTTTTCAGAAAGGGTAAATACCTTAGGCTTTGAAGGCCTTACAGGCTCTGTCACAGCTGTTTCCCTCTGCCAGGAGACTGTGAAAACAACTGTGGGTAAACAAATGGCTGTTTCCAATAAAACTTTATTTACAAAAACRGGCTGTGGGCAGCATTTGGCCCACTGGCTGTGGCTGGTCATTTTTGTTCTCAGGTCAGTATGCATGATCTTGCTGGTATTTGGTCATGCAGTATATTGTGAAGACTTAGGCTTCCCAATTTTCAAGAAGCATGTTAAATTGCTCCCTGCCACCTCTATTGAATTCATCAAGCAGCTCATGGTTATGTTGTAGGTTTTATACCAAAAAAAAAAAAAAAACAAAAACTTGGAACATAATCCCAATCTTTTGAGTATATGGCCTTAGAAAGCAAACATTCATTAAATAAACAATTACTTATTTGGCTCCAGAATCAGTCTGGGTCGGAATCCAAGCCCTGCCACAGACCACTGGGTGACCATGAACAAATTATGTAGTCTCTCTGGGTCTCAGCCCTTCTGTACAATACTATTAGGACTGATATTAATAATACTGTCCAAAAGAATAAAATAAAATATAATAAATACTAGCCCCCATGCCATGGGATGTTGCCCCTGAAAGGAGACCATTCGGTGGAGAGCTCAGCACAGTGTCCCCAAAAGCAATGGAAGACTGTTAGCTGCTGTTATTTCCTTTGGTTAAGCAATATTGAAATGAAGGGTCACCAATTTGCTTGAATTATCAGTGCCTTAGATAATTTGGACTTGGCGTTCATTGAGAAAATAAATTTTACAAATCGTGTCCATCCAGATGTTTGCAATTTCACTTTCCCTGCTCATCTTTCAGCAAATATGATTTTTTTTTTTTTGAAAAATCAAGCAGCTGGATTCTGTAACTTCACAAGTAAAGAACGCAGCTGGCCATGTGGGATAAATAAACTTTGTGCAATAAACTTGTCTCTATTAATAAAAATCTGCATGAAATATAAGCTGGTGTTTCTGTCACTGTAAAAAGAGAGTCCTCGGATGAATGCAGCGTGGAGCTAACCCATTTGGAAATGTGTTGTTGACTCAATTACAACATGTAACTCAATCAAAATCGACGGATTATACAAAATTATGCAACTGTGAGCCATTAACTAGCAAAGTGGGTGCATTAACTGTATGAAGATAGTTTGATTGTGTTAAATATAAACGAGTATGTTTGCAAAACTTTTTTGGGACTATTATATAGCTCTTTTCCAACTCCCATTTTTCTTCTGGGCTTCCTAAGGGCGGTAGTGTGCAAAAGCACGTGGTGGTGGTTCAGGTGTTGGGGAAGAAGAGAAGTCCTTCCCTCCTCCCTCCTCCCAGGGGCTGCTGGGAGCTGCAGTTAGAAGGTCGCCTCCCGCTCGCCTTGGTTTAAGCAGTTTTCTGGTGTGTGCTACGGGGGGATCCTCTGTGGTTGTTGCTGCCTGTTCTTATGGAAACTCACCTTGTGTTGACAGGGGACGCCCCCTTCCAGTGCTGGCTCTGTAGCGCCAAGTTCAAAATCAGCTCGGACTTGAAAAGGCACATGCGCGTGCACTCGGGGGAGAAGCCTTTCAAGTGCGAGTTCTGCAATGTCCGCTGCACCATGAAGGGGAACCTCAAGTCGCACATCCGCATCAAACACAGCGGGAATAACTTCAAGTGTCCACATTGCGACTTCCTGGGTGACAGCAAAGCCACCCTCCGGAAGCACAGCCGCGTGCACCAGTCGGAGCACCCGGAGAAGTGCTCGGAGTGCAGCTACTCGTGCTCCAGCAAGGCGGCCCTGCGCGTCCACGAGCGCATCCACTGCACCGAGCGCCCCTTCAAGTGCAGCTACTGCAGCTTCGACACCAAGCAGCCCAGCAACTTGAGCAAGCACATGAAGAAGTTCCACGGGGACATGGTCAAGACCGAGGCCCTGGAGAGGAAGGAAACCRGCAGGCAGAGCAGCCGGCAGGTGGCCAAGCTGGACGCCAAGAAGACTTTTCACTGTGACATATGCGACGCCTCGTTCATGCGGGAGGATTCGCTCCGGAGCCACAAGAGGCAGCACAGTGAGTACAACGAGAATAAGAACTCGGATGTGACCGTCCTCCAGTTTCAGATCGACCCCAGCAAGCAGCCCGCCACGCCCCTCACGGTCGGCCACCTCCAGGTGCCGCTCCAGCCCAGCCAGGTGCCCCAGTTCAGCGAGGGAAGAGTCAAAATCATCGTGGGGCATCAGGTGCCCCAGACCAACACCATCGTCCAGGCCGCTGCGGCCGCAGTCAACATCGTGCCACCTGCCCTGGTGGCCCAGAGCCCAGAGGAGCTCCCAGGGAACAGCCGGCTGCAGATCCTGCGCCAGGTCAGTCTGATCGCGCCTCCTCAGACCTCGGGATGTCCGAGCGAGGCAGGCGCCATGAGCCAGCCGACTGTCCTGCTGACCACCCATGACCAGACCGACGGGGCCACGCTGCACCAGACTCTCATCCCCACGGCCGCCGCCGGGCCCCAGGAAGCGTCCGGCAACCAGACGTTCATCGCCAGCTCGGGTATCACGTGCACTGACTTTGAAGGCCTTAATGCTTTGATTCAGGAGGGGACAGCTGAAGTGACCGTGGTGAGCGACGGGGGCCAGAGCATCGCGGTGGCCACCACGGCTCCACCGATATTCTCCTCCTCTTCGCAGCAAGAGCTGCCCAAGCAGACGTACTCCATCATCCAAGGGGCGGCGCACCCCGCTCTGCTGTGTCCCGCCGATTCCATACCCGATTAGTACTGAGAAAAGGGGGACGAGAAATGAGGAGTAGTGTTCTGTGAAAGGTTGGCTCTTGATGTTTTTAAGGATTGCCGTGACCGCCCCCTGTAATAAATCGTATTTTGAACTTCTTACTGTAATTTTTTTAACACTGTAACTACTTTGAGACCACCTCTGAATCACCGCGTTCTACGGTAGAATCTTAAATGTTACCAAGATGATTCCAATTAGGAGTGGGGATTAAATGGGTTAAGTCGTGAATACATTTGTTTGTTTCCAATTTGATTTTTCAACTGTAATAAAGGTTCTTTTCCATCTCATTCAATTTGTGTAGTAGATGGTACTTCCTAGCCTCTCTTAAGCCCCATTCTGAAATACCTCCCAGAATTTGGGGTGTTAGTGTATTACATAGATACACATCTATTGGCTTGGAGAACCATTTTCTACATAATGTGACATGAATACTTGAAAAAAAAATGTTTAGTGCTAATGAACAAACAGTTCCCCAATAAATTGATACCTGGTTAAAAGATCCCGAATGTTAATGCTTCTTGAGATATGGTTTGGGTCTGAGGGAGTGTAAATCATTGTATAATTAAAGGGAACTGGAAGTAGCAGAGGCTTTTAGTTCTCTCATGAATATTGCACAAACACTTTACCACCTTCACACTTATATGGAAAAAGTGCAGTACCTAAAGTGACCCCTTTTTTTTTTTAAATTTCAGACTGAAGATCCTGACATTTCTATTTAAACACAAATATGATGCAAGTTTCTACTAAAATTTGAGAGGACTTTTCTAGGACTTTTTTTGGTTGTTGATATCTGTACAGATCCGGAATCCAGATGAATGGTTTTGGAAAAGCACCTAGCATAGGTTATATTGAGAGGGAAATTCAAATTGTATTCTGTTTTGAATTGAAATGCTATTTGATSGGTAGGTGGCGCCAGAGAGAAACTGGAATTACTCCTATTTATACCTATAAATATCCTCCAGGGGTTTAATATCTCTGATTTTCCATGTAGACAAGGATTGATAAAGAGGGGTGGTCACTATTCTGAAAGAAGCATGATTAAACTGTTATGAGCATACTTAGATGCATTTTTGCCTAAGTTGTCACTTTTACTTTTTCATAATATATGAACTTATATATATGCAGCTCGGTGGCAGGGTCCATGCATGAGGCCCTGGGTTCTATCCCTAGGAATAGGAAAAAAAAATTTTTGTTATGTAGATCATCTCACCTTCATATGAAGATGTTATTTGTGCTTTGGGTAAAAACAAGCTAGGGAAATAAAAAACAGTGATGTTAGAAATCTTGAGGGTTTGCCTATTAGACATGCAGATCCAGTACCCTTCGAAAGAGCCAAAGAGTTAGAGCTGGATTTTGTCTCCCTTCTTTCTTGGATTCTTAGTATTTGGATATAATTCTGAAGCCTTATTGCATAGCTTTGCCAGACTTTCTCTATTTTCATGTCAGTATTGGTAGTAGTGAATTATTAACTGGTTTTGGTCTGAAACAGGAATTCCTGCAGTGTACAATGCTAGAAATTTTTAGTAATTTTATCATTTTGGAATTACAGTGCCTCCCGATCTACAGTTTTGCTTTCTTGCTTTCAGTTACCTATAGTCAAACTGTAGTGCTAAAATATTAAATGGAAAATTCCAGAAATAAGTTCATACGTTTTAAATGCTTTTAATATAGTATGTTGTTGTAATTGTTCTTTTTGTTGATTATTGTTAATCTCTTCCTGTGCCTAATTTATAAATTAAACTTTGTTGTAGGTTTATGTGTGTAGAAAAGAACATAGTGTATATAGGGTTTGCAACCAACTGCAATTCAGGCATTCAAGGAATGTCTTGGAATATGAACCCAGAGAGTGGGGGACACTACTGTATTACTTGAAGCTCTTTAGAAAATTACTCAGCCACCTTTTAACTATGAAACCTCCATTACAAAACTGTTTTCTACATTGTTCTTCTATCCCCAAGAGTGTCCCTTTTTTCAACTTTTAAAAGAGTTTTTTCCTGTTGTAAATATGATGTGTATTCAAGATAGGACACATCACAAATGGAATAGTATGGGGAAAATGAAGCTACTGATAACCTTCCAGGCCACATGTAAACATCGTCACCAGCTTGGTGGACATCTTCCAGTCTTTTTCCCTATGCTTCCACGTGTATGTTTTCTACTCCAGTGATGAAGCCGGGCTTGAGTTTACTCTTTTCTTCTTGCATTCTGTATTTCTTTCCATATTCTCATATCTTCACCAGGCAGCCACCACATGTACAAACAGACACATAGGCATACCTATACATACGCAGCATACTCTGATATTATAAATGACAACAGTAAAATTTGTTCCCTGCAATAAACTGTGCACAAAATTGTACAAAAACCAAGCTAACAACCCCAAACCTAACCCTCCCAACCCAAGGTTGACGTTCTCTGTGTTCATGTGTGCATGCATRGACTCAGATGAAGGTAACATAGAAAAGGGTTTTCCTATTTCTAGAGTAATTGGATCATGCAATGCATACTTCTCTGCAGCCTGCCTTGATTATTCCATTTATTGACAGTCCTGTGGGTCAACACAGCTAACCCTAGTTCATTTGGTTTTTGGCTTCTTTCAGCCAAGGGTAGTAGTGTGAATGTCCGGTGCTCTCGCCARCCATCCCCTATGCGTGGATATTTCGGTTATTTAGGGATTTTCCATCACAAACTGCCACAGTCAACATCCTACATAATTCTTCAGATTCAGTGCCTTTTTTTTTTTTCTTTCTCCAAAGACTAGAAAGTGTGCTTAAAACTGTGTTTCAGTGAGTTTCTGTGGCTTGTATTTGCATAGATCCCAATTGACTTTCTTTTTTTTTTTTTTTAAAGAGAGAGTGAGAGAGGAGAGAGAGAGAGAGAGAGGATTTTTAATATTTATTTTTTAGTTCTTGGCGGACACAACATCTTTGTTGGTATGTGGTGCTGGGGATCGAACCCGGGCCRCACGCATGCCAGGCGAGCGCGCTACCGCTGAGCCACATCCCCAGCCCCCAATTGACTTTCAAAATGGTAGTCTCCTACAGAGTGGCCCAGCCACCTGCAGTCCTGCCAGTTAGCAGTCTCTTGAAGTGGCCTGGTGAGTGAACCAGTTATCTGCTCTTTGTGCTTCCCAGCTGGTGTCTGCATCTGCACAGCCTGTGACATCTCCAGGCCTGATGAGCACCTGGCCTTGCAACTTATACTTGCCCTCCCTCATTTGTCTCAGCTTATTGGGGAATTGGGGGTCTAAACCCCATATCTGTGGTACAGTGCTCAGTTTTCTCCCCTTCTATCTCTTGTCCTTTGACTTTGCTTGTGGCACTGTGGCCAAATCAAAGAGACTGCTTTTTATGTAGTCTGCAATTCCATTCTTCATTTGTGGCTCTTATATTTCTTTAAAGCCCTCCTCCCCCAGAGATGAAGAGGTTCTTTTTCTTTAATATTTTTTTATTTGCTTCTTTGGTTTTAGTCCGCACCCTATGGCAGCCAAGATTCATATTTATATTTTCTGGTATATGGGTTTGGCTATCCACTGTGCCACCACCACAAGTTAAATAAGATTTTCCTTAGAACTGAAATCCTGATTTTGCCTTTGGTGTAGATTGAGTTCCCAAATATACTTGGATCTCTATTCTGTCCCATTGATCTTTACATCTTCTCTGGCTTGCCAACATCAAATATTTGATTGTTGGTGTTAAGGAATACCTTAATCCTTTAGACTTACAAAGTCTTCCTGTTGCTGTCTAGTCCCAAAATATTCTTGGTGATTCTTAGATATTCATTCTTCCAAATGAAGCCATTTTATCCAATAACTACCCCCTGACACACAAACACACCAAAAAACAAAACAAAAAATCTTTAGGGGACTTGGACTGAATCACACCAATATTATGTGTAAAAGGAATGACTTATGGGGCTGCAGTTATATCTCAATGGTAGAGCGCTTGTCTTGCAGGGGTGAGGCACTGGGATCAATCCTCAGATCACATATGCATACATAAATAAATAAGTAAACAAACAACAATAAATAGAAGTATTGTGTCCATCTACCACTCTTCTATTCGAAAAACTTTGATTCCTGTTGTAAACATTATGTAATAAAATGATATCTAATTTTCTTCATACACAGTCTATTACCATACAAGACTTTAGTTTCTCTATGATTATTGTAATTATGAATGGAAATATTTTCTATTTCAAAATAGTTGTTGTAAGCATAAAGAACAACTATTTTTATATATTTGTCAAACACCATTAGCAAAAGTTCACATTCATCAACATGAAGTAATGAAAACCCCTAATCTCTGATAAATAGGATTTATGATGATTATAAAATAGTCATCTCATTTCAAATTGTGTTTTCTCTTTCTGCCCCATGTATTTACTGTTTTGTTTCCTTGTCCTATTGTCTTGGGACTGTTGATATAGTTGATATCCCTGTTGTGTTCTTAATTTTAACATGATTGGCATTAACATTTCCCATTTTGATGGGTGGGGGTGGTGGCTCAGTGGTAGAGCACTTGCCTAGCATGAGCAAGGCACTGGGTTTGGTTCTCAGCACCACATATAAATAAATGAAATAAAGGTCCATTGACAACTAAAAAAAAAAAAAAAAAATTTCCTGGGCTGGGGATGTGGGGCCTGGGTTCGATCCTCAGCACCACATACAAACAAAGATGTTGTGTCCACCGAGAACTAAAAAATAAATATGAAAAAATTCCCTCCTCTCTCTCTCTCTCTCTCTCTCTCTCTCTCTCTCTCTCTCTCTCTCTATCTCTCTTTAAAAAAAAAATTTCCCAATTTGATATAATGTATATTCCTACAAGTAATGGTTTTTTTATAGTTCTCACGTCATTTTCTTCAAGTAAACATTTCACGTAAGAGTTTTTATCAGGGTAGGTTGCTGAATTTTATCAATATCTTTTCAATTTTTTACCATATGGGTGTGCACTTGAATGTGTTGATAGAGTGAATTAGTATACCACACATCCTGTATTATTGAATCATCTTCCATTCCTGGGGCAAACCCTCTTGGCCATGTTGGATTATTCTTCTGATACTTTGCTGGATTCCATTTCCAATTTTTTTTAAATTTTTACAACCATATGCATAAGTGTCATTAATCTCAGTTTTCTTTTGGTCCTATCTCTATCTGGCTTTTGCTTGTTTTTGTTTTAAGTCATGCTACTCTGAAGATAAATTGGAGTCTTTTCCTTCTTGTTCAATGACTTACAATAGTTTGACTATCTCAGAAATTCTCTGCTCTGTTCTCTGGACTGATTCTCTT